GTACCCAGCAAGGCTTCTTTTGGATTTTGTCGATCGACCAATGTTTTCCATGAGAGTGTGGATAAAAAGTTTTGTTGCACGTGATACGTATTTTCTCCTTTTTCGCCAGCAGCCACTTTAGTTGGAATCCCTCTTAGGAACGGAAGTTGCGTGTTTCGACACCACATCGCATTCTATCGCATATGTGAACACAAACATCAAGACTAGTCCTTGACTTAGTCCGATAGGGGATCAAACGAAATATGTAGTTTTTGTTGATGTCTTTGCACTGCAGCGCAAGGTGCTTGCTTTTATGCTGTACTTATAACTTGTTTTCTCTATTAGTTCCACGACGAAATACGTTTGATTTCTATCAAGGCAACTTCCAAATAGGTTGCGTGGTCTACTTCAGTAAATATGGGTTATTTAGTCGTAAACCAACATATTTTGTTATTTGGAACCGCACGCACAGCACTGTTGTTGGGTAAAAGGAAACAACATTGATTATTCATATTTCGACCATTTTCGTGTCCAAAGAGTTGCCCGATTTCAACTCAATACTATCGGAAAGTTTTAATCTGTTGCTATGTCTTTTGTTCTTGGTGATAGTGTAGGGGTTGTGCTGCTACCGCTGCTATATTACAATGATAAACTGAAGATAACTAATGCAAGCAAAATGGTCCACAGTTACACATCACCTTGATGCAAACTGAAGTTTCCAACAGCAGCTCCAAAAAACAAATCATAATGACTATACTGCAGAAAGACGGTTTGAACTGTAGATCATTCTACCCACATCATATGTACTGTTGTGGTTGTAAATAATACTCCACTTTATTTTATTTAACCCTGTAATGACAATAAATGTAAGGGGACCACGAGGTTTGGAAAAATAATTAATCGTTCTTCCTTTTATAATCACTGACTTACCACACTGCAATTAAAGAAACGAAACGAAATTAGGTGGTTAACCTTTCAGTCTACGTTCATAGTTTTCACATGGTAGGTGTTTTTAATCGAAGATGCTCTTGATATCATAAACGTCGTTTTTCGTGATCACTCGTTGTAACTCGGGCAAGTAGAACAATGGCTGTAAAGTTTTTCTATTCGAATTTTCCAATGTAAAGAAGAATTGATGGCGTCCAGGGACTTGTTCCATCACACAAAGATTATTGAATATCATTGCTATTTGAACAATTTTCATCATTGATGTCATTCTAGAATGAACCGTCCTTTAAGCTTCAAAAATTAATTTTATGACTGCATAAAATAAAGCAAGAACAAAATTGATGTCCAAATGGTGAAGGCAACTGAGCGATAAGATTGACTTCAATTTTGTTTTTCTCTTTAGCTTCAATTTTCGTTTTCAGCCTGTTTCAAAGGATATTGTCGTTCTAATTGCTTTTTTTGGTCTTCTTCATCATTTACAACCATCATAATGTTTGCTTTCTTCTGTTTATTTATCGGTCTCTTTGCTTTGCTAAATACAGACGATATATTCCAATACTTGATTAAGAGTGCGTATTGAATTTATTCCAATTTTACTTATCTTTGTACCAAGATGATGACAACGAAAAAACGAAATCATGTAGGTGAAATATATTTGTACGACGATGATGACGATATCGTTATATCGTGTGGGTGAGCTATCTTTTTTGTATGAGTTACTGATGCTAAAACGTGAGAACGTTACTTTGATACAGTTGCTATTGTCCACTTGTTATTCGAAGATGAGAAACAGGAGAAATGTTCAGTGGACTTAATGAGTGAGATCATGTTTCAAAAGATTGATTGATTAAACATTGTAATACACTCGTTCTGTCTTACCATATTTTCTCGGCCAGTTCCACTTTGGAACAGCTACAGAAAACTATGATGACGAAGGATGAAGCAGCGAGTGTATCTATCTCGATGTCGTTTTCAGCAAATTTGGAAACAATCTTTCAAACCGTGTTTTTCTTACACAATGCAAAATTAACAGAGTAGATGATACTGACCATGGCAATGATATTTTTGTGTGTGCCTTATCTAAAGGTTCTGCTCTAACTACTTCTGGCGGAGGTTATTGGGTGGTACTTTTTCTGGCTACTTTTTGGCGGTTGTTTTGATGATCGTTTTCTCCTTTGCAGCTGTTTAGGTTTTCTTTCTTCGTTGCCTTTGTCTTCTTTAGTTTTATTGGGGAGATAATATTTGGCAGCGATTATCTTTGTCTTGCCCATTATACTTGTTTTGCATTTGCTATCGCATTTCGATCTCATCTCAGAATGCGAATTCGAAATGCCTCCTCCAAGAACGTTTATTCCACCGATTTCAAGATAACTTGCTTTTTGGTCTGTTTATGGATTCTAGAATCTGCGAGGTGTCAGTGTTTATGTTTTTCTAAAATGTGGTGCGTCTGTTATGAATAATTCCTCATATTAATTGACCTGCTGTTACCGTAAACCAGAGTAAAATTTGGGGGAAGACAAGCTTCCAACAAATGCGAAAACATTTATGCATCTTTCTCGCAACTGACTGCATGCAGTGCGCAAGTAAGTGTGGCTGTTTTAGATTTTAAGGACGTCATATTGAGTAACTTTTATGGCAATCGTACGTGTGGACTGAGTAACGACTAGGAAGACGTGTAAATCAGTCTTTGACACCGGAAGTGCATATCACTTCTCTTGACTTCAATCGTGACTCAAGTCAGTACGAAATCTCGGTTAATTAGATATTCTGTTGTTTTTTTTTAATCAATCAGCAAATACGCTTCTGGCAAACATATGGCGTTTTTGTAGACATCAGTTATCAACGGTGATCCTATATATTTTAACCACTCAATGTACTTGAGATTTGTGTCTGGAACTTTTAAACAATGCTAAATCATATTCATTGAGATTCGTATTCGCTTTGTTTGAATAGATTGTGTGTGATATACAGAAAGCATATTTAGAGAAAAGATATTATCGCTTTGTTGAGGCATGTAATGGAAACGATCGCATCCTTTCCAATCTTGTATCTTTTATAATCAATGATAGCCTTAGAGAATAGTGTCGGAATCGGAAAGTCGCACAACAGTTTCTCGTCGATTATTTGCGATACTTTCTCCAATAGTTTTCTAATAACTCGGCGATCCGAGACGCGCAATCTTGTGTGAATCAGTTGTTTTTTTGTTTTTTTTTGAATGTGTGGATGATGGGTTTTCCAATAAAAGTCGCTGTTACTTTGAAAGACTTTATGTTTTATTTTTTTCATGAAGTCAAAGTTCGCTACTTTAATGGGTCCATGTTAGAGTGTGAGTCTGTTCACTTGATGTTTAATGTGGATTTGACCTCTCCTTAGTCGGTACTGGTAACATTAATTCTGAGAGCGCACCTTGCAAAACGGAGAGAAGTGTCTTTATGGTGCTCAATTAACAATGCTCCTAAACACTCGTCTTCTGTGTGTGCAAAATCGCATCCGGATCAAGATCCCGCTGTATACGTCAAAGTAAAACGTTTGGTAACCTAGAAGTACCAGAACAGAGCAATACTTCAAAGGTGCCTTGGTTCTCACGGATGCAAAAATGACTACGTTGACAAACTCGTTCGGTTGGACAAACTCGACTGTTTGTTTTATGCGACCAAATCCGCACGTACTATTTCGTTGTGTTTGATGTCTTTTTCTTTGTCTTCTAACAACTGACTACATTGGCTTCGATCCGTAAAGTATTCCTAGATGAGCACAATAATGTTGTTGACATAAACAATTTAGCAAGACTATTGTGAGAAAAAAAAACTCGCCATTCCCTCTCGAGTTGAGTGTGTTCCAGTTCATTTCCCTCTACTGATCTGTACCATAACTTAAATGACCGCTTCTGTGGCCTAGTGGTTAGAGAGTCCTCCTTGGATGCGGAAGGTCGTGGGTTCAATCCCCGGTCGAATCATACCAAAGACTTACAAAAATGGTATTAGCAGATGCCTCAGTTGGCGCTCAGCATTAAGAGGTTAGTGTTAGGACTGGTTGACCTGGTGTTAAGATAATGTGACTAGGTGGGACATCATGATATATATCTGCGGCATGATTCCCCAGTGCTAGGCATCACTTTAAACTGCCACATTACAGACATCGTAGCGATATGACTGAAAAATTGTTAAAGCTATGATAAAAATCTAAAACACACACACACACACACACACACACACACCTTAAATGCATCTTGCTCTTCCTCTGTGTACAACAGCTTCAGATAACCGTTTGTTTGGTATTTTATTTTTAGTTATTGAAGTGTCCGGAAAAAAAGTACAGATCACACTAGCCTGCAGATCAGTCAGACGTTAATGACGGCGAAATTGAAAGCGTTCTGTGATCGACAGACATAATTATGGTGATGTAAGCAAAAGTTCACTGCAGTGAGATTTCAATTATGTAATTATCGATTTTTGTGACCTACCACCACAACCATCAACACCTTCGTGAAAGTCAAGATCGTGCAAGGGTAAAGGTCGCTCTTGAGTACTTGAAGATTATTTACATATCCAGCCTGTGCGCTCTCTCTCTCTCTCTCTCTCTCTCTCTCTCTCTCTCTCTCTCTCTCTCTCTCTCTCTCTCACTCTCTCTCACACACACACACACAAAACACACACATACTTAAAAAATACGGTGAGATTCTGTATGCACTTAATTTATTTAAATTTACTTTCATTCATGAAGTTTAAATGGGTGAAAATAATAATTACAAAATCAAAAGTTAAATCTGGAAATGTTGTATCATTGTTTGTATTGTGCGCAAGTCAACAACGGACCGCAGAGATGATTAAAAAGTGTATATGTAAAACTATATTGGTTGGTATGTGCCAGTAATGTAAATTTATAAATACATAAAAAAAAATTTCTACGTGTTCCATTAAAATGATGGTTTCCATAGGTCTCTTACTGATCCATCATGTTTATTTTCCAGATGGGTTACAGCGACCGAAAATGTTAACGCTCCAATGGAAGATACACTAAACCGGACGTATTGTGAATTTTCCGTAAACCTCATACCGACTCAAACGTAGTCTGAATTTCCCATAAACCTAATACCGACTCAAACGTAGTGTCAATTTCCCAACAATTATTAGCTGCGGAACCCAGCCAGGCTCAATATGGTTCGGAAGTTAGTAAATGTTGGTGTAGCTCTGAGCCTCCAGTCAGCAATGCCGACAGTAAAATTATGAAATGCAAAGAGTAAATTAAAGAACAAAAATTTAATTAACAATCAAATATTCAGTCTCTAAAACTCTACCACGCGCCCTTTCGCTTGACCCCCTTTTAGCCTATCTGATCACATGAAGGTTGGTGTGAAAGTTTCTGGCTGTTACTCATCTGGTCCTTCCGTATATCTAGTTCTCCTCGGTTGCTTCCCTTTACTCCAATCACTCTAATTCTCTCATGACTCAGATTTCTATGGGTTGCTTCCCTTACTCAGAGTCTCTAATTCTCTCTGGGTTGCTTTCCTTTACTCCAATCCCTCTAATTCTCTCTGGATTGCTTTCTTTACTCAGATTCTCTAATTCTCTCTGGATTGCTTCCCTACTCAGATTCTCTAATTCTCTCTGGGTTGCTTCCCTTACTCAGATTCTCCGTCTATCGTCTCTCGTCTACTCGTCGGCTTGGGCTTCCCTGTATTCTCGTTCCAGTCCTCTCTACTTATCTGGAACTCGGGACTCTTACCTAACTTGCAGTTGTCCCCGGAAGCTTCCTTAGAAGCTTCGTTCCTAAGCCCGCAACCTTTCCTGCGAGCGCGACAATACTACGGTCGGCAAAAAGATCCCGGAGTATTGTAGAGTGACTTCTCTTTACGGCTGTCTGGTACTTACTGACTCATTGTCGGGTACAGAGATAGAGACAGTTAAAATTCGAATCTTGGATTTAGGCCCACACCATAGCTAGATCCGATTAGGCGCGAAGACTAAACCCTTCAACTAAACTGTCAGTGTTTTGTCTCTATGCGATGGTGGTAGACCACTCCCAGTTATAACTAAATTTTCTCGTGACCTACATACTAACTCACCCTGTAGGGATGATGACTCATACATCAGTCATATAGAACTAGCCCCGCGCCGTATGGCTGGCGGAACGTGACAATGCGCAATTAGGCTGATACACTTCACAATACAAATGGTGTAATATTTGTGCAAAAAGAAAAATCAAAATAAATGAATTAACGAGACCTACTGGTGAATATCATTTACACAAACATTACTCGATACTGTCGACTTAGTTTTATCAATGACACGTAAGAATGTGTTTGAACAATATTTCTTATTAAATATACTTTTATTGCTTGTGTCCCTTATTTATTTTTGCATATATCTTCCTAGCAAAACTGTTTTTCGGACACTTGACACTGTCACCCATATGCGTCAGCCACACACTGCAAATATAACACGTCCGGTTTTCGAAACTGAGTTCGATTGCGAGGTACATTTGATTTGCTTTGTGTAGGAGCGGGTTGTAGACAGTTGGGTGGTTTTCTATAACTGTAAAAACTTTTCAAATACACAGTTCATACGTTTGTATCATCGACCTCACTAAAACCATGAAATTCCCCATTGATAATTGCGACACATCATGAATGGCATTCAAGAAATCCAACACCGTAAATCCTACTAATTCGTGTAGTTGACTGACTCCATTTTTATCATTTTAAATTTCCCCTACCGGAACTTGATATTAAGCCTCTTGTAACCCTTATATTGAAATCATAAATATGCTAGTATGTTAACATATTATGCGGTCTACACTGCACTGCGCTTGCGCAGGTGCCTTGTATTTTGTTGTTGTAGTTGCTCCTGTTTTGGTTCGGTTATTTTGTTTTCAAAAGAATTAATTTGTATTCTAATAACATTGCATTTTGACATCTCTATCAACGTCACTAAAGCAGGGATTGTAATACGGTAGTTTACAAAACAATGCTTTACTTCTCAATGTGATCATTTTCGTTTATTGGGCGATGATAAATCTTATGTAAAATTAGGATGCACATTTGTAAGAACAATGACAGGGTCTAGGCTCAGTATAGTTATACATTATAAGGTGGCAGGAGACAGTTTCGTAAATTGGCACCTTGCAAATTTCTTAACTTAAGGCTATGGCGAGATTTCATGAGCTACTGTTGTGTACTAACTAACGATATGGATATATTTGTGAATTTAGTCTTTCCGGCTTGTGTTTTTCTTGAAATTAATGTGAGTCGTATGCACTTCGTGTGCACAGTATCTAGCCAGTGAGATAACAATGGGCAGTGGAAGAAGTCCATTGTATATGTATGGGATGGAATAAGACGCTCTTGCCCCATGACTTTGATTTATTAATGAACACCTGAAAATGGGCAATAAGCCTAACCAACCAAAACTCAGATTTGACCACGAAAAATTTATTGATCTAAAAGTCGCCGATGCCTTCAAAGCAATTATAGGTGGTAAATTTGCACATTTGATAAACCTGGAAACACAAAACACCAACGTAGAGCCCTTAACATCCACATTCAATACAGCTGTGACTAGCACAGCTAGCGAGATCATTGACAAATATCGTCAAACAATGAAATATTGCATCACAAAAGATGTCATTGAACTATGCAACAAAAGAAGAGAACTGAAGAAAATAAATGAAAAAAGAGATCATGAAGGAGTTAGAAAAGACAGTAAATCATGAAAAAGCAAGGTAATCCTGGATAGAAAGACGAAGCTGAAAAATCGAAGACAGTCTGCGTAGAAATGACAGCAAAATGGTATATCAGCTGGTGAAAGATCACACAACACATAAACAATAAAAAAAAACTACCACCATCCAAGACAAATCAGGAAACTGCCTCACAAAAGATCAGGTGAACCTCAAGCGATGAACAGAATACTGCTCGGAATTTATAATCATATGACCCAAGGAGATCCAGCAGTACTAAATTGCTTTCAGACAGAATAAATTGATGACAGTCCCGTTCTTTATGAAGAAGTAGAAATTGCAGTAAGGTCACTAAAGAACGGAAAGTCAGCCTGCATTAACAATATACCAGCAGAGATCATTCAAACAAGATGAGAAGAGATAGTCACAGTACTAATAACAATCTGCAACAATATATGGTGGACAGGAGAACGGCTCACCAAATGGACTCAATCCTTGGTGATCGTGCTTCCCAAGAAAGGAAACCTACAGCTATGCCAAAAAAAAAACTACAGAACCATCAGTTTGATCAGTCACCCAAACAAAGTTATGCTGAAGATAATTTTCAAAAGACTAAGCCTCAAGCAGAGAAAATTATTGCCGAAGAGCAGACAGGCTTCCAAGCAGAAAGGAGCACCACAGAACAAACCTTTAATTTCAGCCATTTTGCGAGGAATACCTTCAGCATCAGCAGAAGCTATACTGTGTCTTTATAGATTTCATAAAGGCCTTTCATAGAGTATGGCATGCAGACTTATGGGGAAATATGTGGAAGTGCAACATCAGCTCAGACCTGGTGCAGGTTATTGAGCCCCTCTATGACGAAGTCACCAGTGCTATCCTTATCAATGGCAGCAGAGGTTATTGGGTTCGAACAACAGTTGGAGTCAGACAGGGATGTATACTTTCCTCTACACTCTTCAACATTTTCCTGAACACGACCATGGAGGCTGAACGACCACAACGGCACTTTCAACAATGGAGTAAGACCAACCACCAGTCTTCGCTTTGTAGATGATATTGATGGTTTAGCATGAGATGAAAAAGATATGGCTGACTTGTTTGAGTGCCTCGACACAACTCCACCGCATACAGCATGGAGATTAGCGCTGGGAAAACTAAACTGATAACAAACAGCGCCAAGAGCATCAGTGCAGAAATAAAGGTCAGTGGACAGATGCTGTAAAGAGTCACAAGCTTCAAGTACTTCGGATAAATTATCACAGATGTGGACTCCAA